CGCATACATGAGGCTGCCTACCAACGAGTGAAATCGGCGCCTCTCCTCTTCACCAACGCTCTCCTCCTCTGGTCCCTTCACACACTTGAACCCAGAGGGAAAGGGTGTAGCCACATGGCCTTCACTCTGCCCAAAGTTGGCAGCCAATGCCTCCAGGTACTTTCGTTGATGCACCCGCATGCACCGCTTCTCCACATCTCGTTCGATGTGGAGCCCAAGGTAGAAGCTCACGTCACCAAGGGCCTTGCACTTGAACTTGTCTTGAAGCTTCAGCATCACCTCCTTCACAAGGTCAGAAGAGGGTGAGAAAATGAGGATGTCATCCACATAAACCACCATGAAACTCCTCTGCTCCCCCTCGCCAAGCATGAACAAGGAGTGATCGGCCGTTGAGGGAGTGAAGCCGATCCCCTCCAACACTTCGCGCAGCTTCATGTACCATTGCCTAGGGGCCTGCTTCAGCCCATAGAGGGCCTTCTTCAGCTTCCACACTCTGCCACTACCATTATCAAACCCCTCTGGCTGCGCCATAAAAATCTCCTCCTCAAGGATGCCGTTAAGGAATGCCGTTACGATGTCCATTTGCTTTACTACCCATCCTTTGATGGCGGCTCCCGCGAATAGGGTTCGCAGCGTCGTCGGCTTCACCACAGGGGCAAACAGCTCCTTGAAGTCCACCTTCTCCTTCTGCTGGTACCCCTTGGCTACAAGCCTAGACTTGTAGCGCTCGATCTTGCCGTCGGCATCCGACTTGATTTTGAAGAGCCACTTGGACGTTATCGCCGTACGCCCCTCCGGTAGCTCCACCAATTCAAACGTGTCATTTTCCTCGATGCTCTTCAGCTCACTCTGCATGGCCTTCTTCCACTCCTCAGCATCACTACTCTCCAAAGCCTCCTTGAGAGTTGCTGATTCTCCCGGCATCTCCACCGGAGAGAAGAACGCGAAGGCACACTCCTCGTAGTCACTCTCCTCGTCGTCTCCGACCATCATTGCCGCTCCGGCCAGGGCTGTCTTGCCCTGCTTTCCCGGCGCATCATAGGTCAGCCTATTAGGGGGTTGAACTCTCCTCTTCCCCCTTCCTTCCTCCTCAGCTGCAGGGACTTGAGGGCCTTGGAGTTGCTGCGGTGTGGCTCGAATCCGTGGAGCACTCGTAGTACGGGAAGGGAGTGACGGTGCACGCTCGCTCACTTGCTGCACCTCCTCCTCTTCTTCCTCTGCATCATTGGCCTCCTCTCCCCCATTCACAAGGGAGGATTGCCTTGTGGTTGTGCTGCCGCTGCTCAGCTCCAAAGGCAGCTCCACATGCTCCAAACCGGAACTCTTCACCTCCCCAAACCGCACGCCTATCTTCGCCTCATTCTCCGCCTTCCAATCCTTGTACATGAAGTTCTCCATGAACTTGCAGTCCCTGCTCACCAAGAACTTCTTGGTGAATGGGTCCCAAAGAAGCCATCCCTTGCTGTTTTGAGCCATGCCCAAGTGCACGGCCCACACCGCCTTGGCACCAAGCTTGTTGTGCCGAAGATGCTTAGGCACGAGCGCCATGCACATGCACCCGAACACCCGAAGCATATCCACCTTTGGCTTCCTTCCTAGCCACTCCACATAGGGCACCCATTTGTCTGCTCCCACATGAGTCAAGGCTCTGTTCTTGGCCACACACGCGCTCCGCACCGCATCAGGCCAGAAATAGTCGGGTAGCCCGGCTTCAATGAGCAACCCGCGTGCCGCCTCCGTGATTGTGCGGTTCGCTCGCTCGGCGATGCCGTTCATTGCAGGGGAGTATGGCATGGTGAGGGAGTGCCGAATACCATTCTTCTTCAGCCACAACCCAAACTCCTTGCTCAGGAACTCTCCCCCTCGATCGGTGCGGATTGACTTGACTAGACGGTCTTGTTGCCGCTCCACCATCGGGAACCAATCCGTCTTCAACGTTTCAGCCACGTCGCTCTTCTTGGCCAGCACGTACACCCAAGTCATGCGGGTGTAGACGTCGACAATGGTGAGAAAATACTCAGCTCCAGCAGCTCCAAGCTTCAGGGGGCCCACCACGTCCATCACCACCTCATCAAGCGGTGCCTTTGCCGTTGCCTCCGAACTAGGGAACGGAAACCGGGTGAACTTGGCTTGAATGCACGTCGGGCAGCCAAGCACCTCATCGGGCTCCCCCTTCACACGTATGCCAGCAACCATCTCATTCTTCACTAGCTGCTGCAAGATGGGCAGGGCCACATGCCCCATGCGCCGATGCAAGGTGAGCCAATCACACTCCCCCGTAGCCGAAGTTGGATTGGAGAATGCCGCGCTCGCAATAGCGCCCCACATACTCTCTCCGTAGTCCTCCTCCGCTGCTGCCTCTGGGTTCTCCTCACCCTTTTGCTGCTCCTTGGTTGCTGCACCACTCTCCTTAGGTTCACTGAACTTGCTGGTCCCTCCAGGTTTGCTCTTCTTGAGCTCATTCTCCTTAGCGCGACCGTTCGCGCCATCGTCGCTACCGACCGCTCCATCCTTGGTGCTGATGCTTGCTGCCACTTGCCTCTCCTTAGGCATAGGGACCACTGGGATCTGCCACATCTCGTTGTAGACATCCCTGTCCTCATGAAGGTCCCAAAGAATTCGATCGCCAAGCCTTGCGGTGTAGGTCTTGGCTCCCTTCGAGTTCGTGTCCATGCCGGCCTTTGCCAACCGCCGCACGGAAATCAGGTTTGCAGCAAGGCTGGGCACCCAAAGCACGTTCTTGAGGCCCACCATCTTCCCATCAGCACCCTTGAACATGGCCTTGCCCATGCCTTTCACCTCTGCTCGCTGCCCCAAAGCCGATGTGACATGCTTCACCGGTGACGGCTCGAGTTCGGTGAGCAAGTCCGGGCGAGGTGTCATGCTATAGGTAGCGCCACTATCAATCACCCAATAGTCCAGGGGGTGTAGGGTCACCTTCCCCACAGCTGCTGGCTCCTCAAAGCCTTCATCCTTCTCTGGACCAGCCGGTACTTGCGTCGACACGAAGTAGAATAGACCCGGGTATCGATCGTCGCTCGGGTCCTTGTCGTTGTCTCCGCTCTTCATGTTTGCAGCTCCGCCACCGCGACCGCCACGGCCTCCACGGCCTCGTCCTCTCCCTCCTCCTGCTCCTCTACCCTCTTGGCCTTGAGCAGGGGTCCAACCATCAGGGAGTTTGTAGCAGTCGCGCCACATGTGTCCGCTCTTGTGGCAATAGTGACACTCGCCGTCGAATCGGCCGCGACCGCGTCCGTAGCTCTTGTCGTCGCTGCCGTAACCGCCACTCCTGGGGCCTCCGCCGAAGTTGCTGCCACCAAACCTTCCTCCCCCTCGTCCTCTGCCTCTTCCTCGACCATATCCACGGCCGATGCTCGCTGCCCCAGCGCCATCCGCACTCGCCAACTCACGGCGGCGGAAATCCTCTTGAAGGATAGCTCGCTTCACGTCTTCAAGCGAGAGGCGGGGCAAGTCACGATTAAGGTTGATGATGAGCGAGGACCATGACTCTGGGAGTAAGGCCAGCAACTTGGTCTTCTTTTGGAGCTCACTGTAGTTCAAATCAGCTCCCTCAAGCCGCGTCAACAAGTCGAAGAATTTCTGCACCCCTTATTCAACCGCTTCGTCTTCTTCAATTCGTAGTGCCGCCATTTGCCGTTCCAACACCACCGCTACCGCCGCTGTTGCAGGAGCATGTACACCCTTGAGAGCAGCCCATGCCTTTGGTCCTTTCTCTGGTTCACGCTGGAATGGCTTGATGTGACGGATCTGACTGCTCCCCAACGCTTGCCCAAGTAAGAGATAGCCTTGTGCGCTCTTCCGCACCCACGGGCTCTTCTCCGGGTCGTTCTCGGGGCGCTTCTCCGTTCCTTCCATCACCTCCAGCAGGTCATAGTGGTCAAAGATGTTCTCCATCTTGAAGGACCATTCAGCAAAGTTGTCACCGTTGAACTTGTCAAGCCCAAACACCCTAGGCTCATCCCTAGGTGGGCCAAGACTTGGTTGCATGGGCGCCATGGCTGAATCACGGGGTTGGCCTTGAGCTTGAGCTTCTCCACTGCCACCAGCACCTATGCCACCCCTTTCCTCAGGTCCAGACATTGTCGAAACTGCTCCAAGGGGCTCTGATACCACTTGTTATAGTCACAATAGGCTTGAATGTGCCTAAAACGAAAGATAGAGAGCACAGACGGATTTCTGCACAGCGGCTTCAAACGTTGATAGCGTTCTGCTCACAGCTGCAAATGACTTGATTCAAATTGGATCTGGAGCGTCTTTACGTCGTCTACAATTAGCAATTTAGATTGCACGATTTGATAAAGAATTGACGACACAGCGTCGGTTTGAACGAACGGTACTATGGCAGCCACTATAGTCTTAGAACACAAGATAGGAAGAGTTACGAGTTGGGAATGACTCCCAGCTCCTACAAACCCCAAGAGCCGAGGTACAGTGATGTGGAACAGTGACACACTGTCCCCAACCACGAAGGGTCTCGAAACTACCCTTCACTAGGGCCTACACCAAGTGAAATGTTACACTACACAAAGTAATGTAACTATCTTCAATATCTTGAGGTGTACCCTTTTGGCAAGCTTCGAAATCACTTGAGGCTTGACACCAAGGCTCGGGCTCTTCATCACAAACTCATCCTTGAGTTCTTGATGGGTCTGCTGCACACACCTGCGACACGCCGAACGTTCGACACAGGACAAAATAGAAACCGCGCACGACAAAATAGAAACCGCGCGCGAGACACAAACGACCGCGTAACACGCGTCTAGCGATAACTCGCTATTGACTCGACACACACACTCGACATCATGACTCAACATTCACACACAATTATAAGCATGAAATATATATTATCCCATGCCCTCATACCATTCCATACACACACACATTCACGCACACGGACAACAAGCCGAGTGCAAACCGTAGGGTTGCACCGTAGGTGCCTGCATTCATGCCATCCTTGCAAACGGTGGGCGGGACAAGACTCAACGGGGCTCCTCGCGGCAACCCTGCGCCCACTTGTTCAGAAACCAGCGGGTGGGGTGCTCAAACGACTGCACCATGTGCACGGTCTTCTGAATTGCATCAATGGGCACTACGTGGTACCCATTGTCGAAGACGGCAGGGTGCATGATCATGCACCCCGTGCACTCATCGACATTCTGTGGGATCCAGCGCCGGACAAACGCCACCGCACGGTCCTCTTCGTCCTCAGCGGCACAAGCGGACGCCACGGACAGAAGGAGGTGGACGCGTCCATGCAGGGTTTCCCCCTGCTCGTCTACGAACTCGACGAAGGAGAACGCCGCCTCGCCATGCAGCACCGGCACTGCATGCACATAGTGCGGCTTGACGATGGAGTGGTCGAGTTCACGGGGAGGGAGAGCCAGCGCCGTGTGAACCTGGTATGGAAGGAAGGATGCCACACGCATAGACTTACACCCATGATGGATAAGGGTAGATGCGGGCCGTGACTGGGTCATGCATACACTACAAAGATACGGACTGTGTGGGCTTTGGGTCTGGTGGCAAATTCATGACACGTGTTGGGAATGATTGGCTGCAAACAGCCATGACAAAAGTAAAGCACCCACAAGCACATACCCATGCCGGGAATGGCACCAAGCCATGCTGGCGCATCACGTAGGCGTATGGCCCAATGCCCTCTTCAAGGGCTGCATCATACGCAGAGTACAGGTCCTGCGGACCAGCCGGGGAGTTGGTCCTCCCCAGCATGCGTGCCTTGTTCCTGTTGAGCTGAGGTCGGCCAGATGCAATCGCCTGATTCAACAGCATAGTACATCATGCAATGCGACAGCATAAGAGAACAACAAACCCATCGGCAGCATCATATAACAGCACGAATAGGATCAGCATGCAACACAAAAGGGGGACGTGCATCACAGGCAGCAGAGAACATCACAGGCATCAGAGAACATCACAGGCAGCATAGAACATCACAGGCAGCAGAGAACATCACAGGCAGCAGAGAACACCACAGGCAGCAGAGAACATCACAGGCAGCAGAGAGCATCACAGGCAGCAGAGAGCATCACAGGCAGCAGGGAACATCACAGGCAGCAGAGAACATCACAGGCAGCAGAGAACATCACAGGCAGCACAGAACATCACAGGCAGCAGAGAACATCACAGGCAGCAGAGAGCATCACAGTCAGCAGAGAACACCACAGGCAGCAGAGAACATCACAGGCAGCAGAGAACATCACAGGCAGCAGAGAACATCACAGGCAGCAGGGAACATCACAGGCAGCAGAGAGCATCACAGGCAGCAGAGAACATCACAGGCAGCAGAGAACATCACAGGCAGCACTAAACATCACAGGCAGCAGAGAACATCACAGGCAGCAGAGAACATCACAGTCAGCAGAGAGCCCCACAGGCAGCAGAGAACATCATAGGCAGCAGAGAACATCACAGGCAGCAGAGAACATCACAGGCAGCAGGGAACATCACAGGCAGCAGAGAGCATCACAGGCAGCAGAGAACATCACAGGCAGCAGAGAACATCACAGGCAGCAGAGAACATCACAGGCAGCAGAGAACATCCCAGGCAGCAGGGAACATCACAGGCAGCAGAGAACACCACAGGCAGCAGAGAACATCATAGGCAGCAGAGAACATCACAGGCAGCAGAGAGCATCACAGGCAGCAGAGAACATCACAGGCAGCAGAGAGCATCACAGGCAGCAGAGAACATCACAGGCAGCAGAGAACGTCACAGGCAGCAGAGAACATCACAGGCAGCAGAGAACATCACAGGCAGCAGAGAACACCACAGGCAGCAGACAGGCAATTGAGAGCATGGCAAAAAGAAGGCGAGCAGCAGGGAACATCACAGGCAGCAGAGAACGTCACAGGCAGCAGAGAACATCACAGGCAGCAGAGAACATCACAGGCAGCAGAGAACACCACAGGCAGCAGACAGGCAATTGAGAGCATGGCAAAAAGAAGGCGGGCAGCAGGGAACATCACAGGCACCAGAGAACGTCACAGGCAGCAGACAGGCAATTGAGAGCATGGCAAAAAGAAGGCGGGCAGCAGAGAACATCACAGGCAGCAGAGAAACCATCACTCATATAAGACCCCGCACCGTTGGCAGACCACGCGCCCGCCACACAAGGTGGTAGGTATAGTATCTGAAATGGCGCATTCGCAATCATACGCAGCAGTCCCTAGATCTCACCCGCTGCATTGCGGTATCGTATCGCCTGGCGGGCTCGATGCTGCTTGGCAGACGGGTGAGCTGCGCTGCAGTCGCGTTGTGACGCGCGATAGCCATCGCGTGCTGCCTGCGGTTGGACGCTCTGAAGGGGACCTTGCACGTCTTGATGTGGGCGTTCTCGTACACCGCCGCCGAGAACTCGCGCGGAAGGCCACCCCTCTTGATGGCCTCGGGAAGATGCATCAGGAGATGCACCTTTATGAGGTTCCAGCCGTCTCCGAGGCGTGGAAAGTGGCTCTCCACGTTCCGCACCATGCTGCTTTGCAAACACATAGTCGTACAGGTATAGATAGGGAATAGGCCGAGAGGGTGTAGAGTGGTAAGGGATACGCATAGGGGGCAGCTGGGGAACGGTGAGCGACGGAGACAAGCAACGACCTGGTTTAGGGTGGTGGGTTTAGGGTCAAACTGCATTTGGCACACATAGACGAGTGAGAGGGAAATGGAATACACAGAACACAGGGATTGGGAGGGGGGGAAGAGTGAGTGGCAGATCAACATGGACAGGTGATTCGGGTTTAGAATCAGCATTTAGGGCCTGATGCAAACGCCCCAATCCGAATCCGCCATATGCCATGTACACACAATCCGATTGCATGCCACGTCTGTCACAACTGAACTGACAGGTCACACAGCAACGAGTCAAGAACAGGTGTAGGCAACTGAAATTGCTACACCATCCTGGGTTGGGACAGAGGGTAAGGATGAAGAACAGCATCTGACTGGGGTGATGGTGCTGGGCCTACAGGGAGTGCATGAGAAAGACGTGAGAAAGCTGTGCAGCCCAAAACAATGATATGAGTGAGGCTTTGAAAGTGACAATGTCAGCTAGGAAACATGCCTGCGTGTCGCGGTGTCAAACTCGCTCAGAGTTTGGTTGGTGTGGTATGGCGCCCGGACATAGGTTTCGTGCCACTCAAGAATGGCCACGAGCGTCTTGCGGCTCGCCACTGTGCCGGTGCCCTCCACCACAAACGGAGTGACCTGCCATTAGTTTGAAAAGGTATTTCACATTGTAATTTAAGGGCCTCCAAACCCCAAATCAGAGTTACCAAACAGCAAACCATAGCAACGGTTTTGGGCAAAACGGCCAGCAACAACGGTTCCTCACCATCATGACGCCTGCGTGTTCCATCGCGGTGAAGTTCGCGCCGGACGCCCAGTAGATCTCGGAAGGAGTCTGGTTCACTCCAGCGAGATGGGCGCCGGGGTGGAGTTGTACCATCCTCCTGCCAGAGAAGACATACATTACACGGCAGCAGCAGGGGAAACACGGAAGAAAGAAGCAGCATGGAATACGACAGAACAAAGCACCAGCAGGGTACAGCACAGTACAAAGCAGCAGCGGGAGGGATAACACAAAAGAAAGAAGCAGCATGGTACATGACCGAACAAAGCACTAGCAGGGAACATCACAGTACAAAGCAGCAGCGGGAGGGATAACACAAAAGAAAGAAGCAGCATGGTACATGACCGAACAAAGCACTAGCAGGGAACATCACAGTACAAAGCAGCAGCGGGAGGGATAACACAAAAGACAGAAGCAGCATGGTACATGACCGAACAAAGCACTAGCAGGGAACATCACAGTACAAACCTGTGGCAGGGAAAACTCAGAAGACAGACGCAGCAGGGAACAGCACAGTACAAAGCAGCAGCAGGGAAAACAGCACATGGCACAGTACAGAACAGCAGCAGGGAACAACACAAAACCCAGCAGCAGCAAAGCAACACGGAACGGAGCAGCACCATGGGACAACACTCACCAGGGCATCAGCAGGGAACAGCATAGACCGACGTGAGCATATAGCAGCACACACATGAGCAGCAGCAGAGACCAACACAAGCATAATCCGCCTAAATAATCTACACAAACAACCAATGGGCACACACCAATCCTTCTTGTCGGCCTGGTTATCCTTGCCACGCAGAGCGCTGCGTACGTAGATCCAGAACCCGAGGTACAGCGCGTGAAGGATGTCCGGCATCATGGAGAGGTAGGTGTTGCCCCATGGCGTCATCAAAAAGTTCCAGTCCCAGAGAAAGGACTGCCATAGGGGATCGCAAACAAAAAGCATCGTCAATCAAGCACCATTGAACAAACGATGAGTACTGGCGACATGATAGCTGAAATGAACAAACAGCTGGTTGACGAGCCACAGATAGACACATGGCTTACTGCGACACGGAAGGTCGAGTAGTCATGTGCCTTGCTACGATCATCCATAAGGTCCTTCTGCTGCACCACCGTCCGACTGTCGGACATCGCTGCATCCATGTCGCGGAGATGGGCCCGCTCCACGTAACACAGAGAGCACGGCCTCCTGCTGCCCTGCTGCATGGTGCAGGAGACCTTGCAGGTCTCCGGATAGTCGGCGACGACTGAGAACAGCAGCGGCCAGATGAATCGGTCGTCACCCCAGGGGTCCTTAGCGGCGAGACCCCTGCCAAGGATCGTACAGGTGTACAGGGCCGTAAATAGCAGGTCATTGAGCATATATCGCAAGACTGGTCCTCACAGGCAGGCGAGAAGCACGCACAAGGAACTTTATCACGTTTTAATCCATTGATATACGTGCGTAGCAAGCAACTCAATTCAGAAACGAGGGACAACTCTGGCCGGGAAAAGATGCACTCACTGAGTTATGATACTTACGTGTGTGAGGCCAGAATGAGGTCGGCAAGCACGAGCTTCATGGACTCCTAGAACAACTGCATCTTCTGCTCCCCCGTCATGTCTGAGGGTGGCATCGGCAGGAGCGCGAGCAGCACCCGGCCAGTGTCAAGCCAGCGACGGCGTAGAGCGATGTTCGCAAGGCTTATGTAGACAGCCCACACTTTGATCCTGTCATTCCCACTGAGCACAGTGGCATCACTCGAGATGATGACTGGAGCAACCACCTGTCCCTCCCCAAACAGTATGTTCAGCCAGTCCTGCATGCAAAACGTGTAGCAGGTGCTCTCGTCAGACACGCACCGGGGCAACCAGGAAACTAACATCAAGGGAACTGCCAGTGGATGTGAAGACACACTCTCTGCGGAAGCACACACCTGAGCCTCTTCCCAGAATGTCGCACTCGCAGGGGTGTTGTAGATCCGACCAGCACCGGAGTTCACAGTCTGCGCAAATAGCTGGAACCCCTCCGCATTATCGGGGTGCCCAAACAGCTCCAGCACCGCCTGATGGGTCCAAGGGAGGGATGGTATGTGATTACCGCTTCTACATGCACACCTACATGGGGTAATGCTGGTGAAAACAAGCCCGCACGTACAGAACCTAGGCCCAGCCGTGGAAGTGTTGCACAGCATCCAATGAAAATACCACTGTCGCGCAAGTCACCTACTGGTATGTACAGAACGCATACTCACAGCCACGGGTTCGGTGCAGAGGACTTCAAACGTGTGATCGTAGCCCTCAATCCGGAGCTCCTTCTTCACGTACTCTCGTTGCGCAGTCAGCAGTGCAAGCCCGTACTTGTTCGCAGCATTTCGAGACCGCCAGCGCGGCACCTCGCTGGGATCGAAGCGGGGGTCGCGCAACATCTTGCACAGCCACGCGACGCCTTTGTCCGAAAGGCCACGACCACCGTTGCAGCCAACGATGAACCGATAGATCTCCAAGAGGGTGTCAAAGCCAGAATCCTCGTCATCGCTGCTGTCTTCATCGCTTCCTGACTCGTCAACCGAATCATCGCTGTCCTCATCGCTGTGCTCGTCTCCCTCCTCGTCAGATGCACTCTCAGGCGCGCCGAGCGCCTCAGATCCTTGCGTTGTGTCGGCCTGTTCACAAATACAGGATAGGTAGTCAGAGCAATACACATGCACAGCCAAGAAGGGTGTTTCCGAAAGTCTCAAGCTGGCAAATAAGTTCTGGGCCCTCACCTCCATGGGAAGAGAAGGGTCATGGACGTTCGAGCCGTGAGACGGACTGTCACGTCCAGCAGCATCACCAGCATCATCGGAGTCATCAGCCTGACGCGGCATCCAGCGACGCCCGAAACGCAGCACACGCGCCCACTGCCGAAAATGGCGCAGACACCACTCGCAGGCGAAGAGGTAGGAGATTGGGGGCATCGTGAGGAATCGTCAAATGACTCAACTATCGTCTGGCACTGGAATGACGGCGCTTGGCGCCCGCATTTATAGACCCGTAAGGTCGACATTACTACTCGCGCTGATATGTTTCTAAGACGCCTCCATGAAAAAACTTTTCAACAGCCTTACCAGCAGTCCGGGTTTTGCGGATTGACAGGTCTGTGATGACATGGATAGGCGTTAGCAACACTGTACAATGAGAGCCCCTCACCTCGCGGCGGCCTTCTGGTGACGCAGCGCCACGTCAAAGAAGACCCTATCCATCGCATAAGACTGAGCGCCGCCATAATAAAAATCCGCCATAATTAGGATGACACGGAAACACGTCATAGCGCTCCTTACGTGCGAGATTTTATCAGTTTCAGACTCACACCGTGGCAGTACTTGTACTCTGGCAGTACGGCCAGAATTGAGAAAGGATGACCCACGATTGGTCGTCCAGCGTCAGATCTAGATACTAAATGTAATGGGTCACCTACGAACTATCGTTAAACGTGCGGTTGACTCAGGAACACGTCAACGGGGATTCTAATGTTCGTAAGCTTATCTGTCGATCCAGGTCAAGGCTGATATTTTTCGTGCGCGGTGTGACGGGAGCGACGAATCGTCAACGATGGGGGTACTAATGCCTTAGGCTGAACGGACCGGGTGAGGCTGATATTTTCCGTGCCACACCATACAGGATATGTGTGTCGGCATCAGGAGGGGAACTAAGGCACAAGAGCCTACATTGTTGGGAAGCACCGAACTTGTGGGTGGGATTTTTTATGACCCAAACGCTGACAACCAATCAGACCCTATCTCGGACATGGCACAACTATCTCGGATGTGACCACCGACACTGATATTTGTGTCTGTACAGGTCCATACTGTCACCCACACGGCTACCCTCGCCACAATCGGTCGGTTTCTGGTCCAGTGCCAGCACTGTAACGACACAATATACATGAAATATGTGGTTCTACACAGAGGGAGAATGACAGATCGCATCACTAACGGAGTCACCAATGTCGGGGAATTTGAAGACCCCTTGAGAAACCAAGTGTTCTCACCCTTACGCTCCCTCACACGTAGTTGTTTCCCCCACCCTGATGCGTTCACATCAAATACCTGCGTACAAGATATATATGACGGACTAATGACGTGGACCGCCAATCAGCAGAGAAACGGCATGCTTAGAGTCGTCGTAGGATTCGCGCACGTACCACCAACAAGAAGCTTGACGCAACAGTTCGTCTGCGATGTACACGGAGGACATTGCGCGTCATCTATGACGAGCTCGCCGATGTGATCACCCTTGAAATATCGCTACGTGTTTGCCAGCGCGACACGATATCCAGAGTCGACGTGTATAGGGGGCTATTAAGAGCTGTATCCGTGTCAGCAGATGAAAATATCTTCTCATGTAGACACTAGCGATTCTCACTACGCTCGTGCGTCATGCGTCTCCTTTACATCTCCCCCACGAGAGTCTCTCCCTTGCGTCAGCGCCGTGTGCCTCTCGAGAGACTGGGGAATGCGTATAAAATGGGGGCTCGTCTAGATTGTCCGGCATTGTTCAAACCATGGAAGCTGCTCGCTCCCCTTACGCACGCCCTCGTAGGCCGAACGCGGGTCGCCGCGCCAGCAACGCTGACATGGTCTTTTATGACACCCCAGGGAACCGTGCCGACGCCGGCGCTGATGACGGTGAGGATGAGGGCCCGCAGGATGATACCAACGCTTTCACGGGCGGAGTTGTAGTTGATGATGCCGGTGATATGGAAGCGCCATCTGGCGATGACACGCACCATGAGCCGGTCGATGAGGACTACAAAGGTACGTGAATGAAGGCTCGTGCTGTATAGGCAATTGAGGTACATGCTGAACATCTAACTTCCTTTCCCCGCCCATTGCAGCTGCACGATCCCGCCAGCGTCCCGTCGATGATGTCAGTCAGGCGGCCCCGGCAGCACCTGCTATCACCACGCCTGGAGGCCGCGGCCCCAGTGTCACTCGTAATGCTCCGCGTGCACCGCAGGCTCCGGCGCCTCCGGTTGACGCGGCGCTAGCGGCCCGTCTGCGCGCTCGTGAGCAAGAGATTGTCGACCTTAATATCCGCCTTCGAAACGCTGAAGCTCGTCGCACGCCCTCGCACGCGCAGCCTGTCGCTGATGCCTCGGCGGGCCCTGCACCGAGTACCAGGAGGGCAGCCCAGCGCAGTGACGCAGCGCCAACAGTGGCACAGCCGGCAGCTGAAGACGGACCTGCCGTTCCTCGCACTCCGTTTGTCGCTCGCGTGTTAGCCCGGGAGACGTCCTCGCACGGTCGGCACAAGGCACCTACCCCCGCACTCCTGCTCTGGGCTGAGCGTCTTGAGAAGGCGAATCTCGTCATCCCGGGCCTTGACAACGGGATGAAGGTATGCCCATGTCGCAGTGATCGCATATGTTGGTTCGACGGATGATACTTGATGACATACTAACACCGGCCCCCATACACGCAGGATGTCATTGAGGACGCGATCGTCATTCTGGTGTTCGACACACGTCTGCGCCTCATGACATTCTGGCCCTCCCCCGCTCTGACTGAGGCGGCTATTTGCCGCGCACTCCGCTTCACCACGAGGGCGCAGAAGCACATGCTGCATTTGGTGTGGTCCAACGACAACACCCGCTCTGGATGGATGGTCCGGAAGATGCAACTCTTCCGGAACACTCGCTGGGAGCAGGGCAGGGCATTCGTGTACGTCCTCAACGGCCTCCCGTATGACCCTCCCACGTTTTCACGCGTGACGGTGCCGCAGGGCCGCGGTGTTGCCTCCCAGACTGCGGCGCAATTCCTGGCGACCAACGAACCTGGTATGTCCACGTTACTAGTGCTCGTGACACGGTGTACCTTACCAGGCTTACTAACGTGGAATTTTCGCCTCGCGCAGATGCTCTGTCGCACGAGCTTCACGTGTGGCACCGGGAGAACGGGCTCCCCTTCTCAGGGCCCTGGCGACGATGACGGCGATGCGTGATGTGCCTGCATGCTGTGCGTGACTCTTTTGCGCTCTGGAGACAATTATGCTTGTGCATCTGTTTCAGCTACCTCGGGATTGTGCTGGTGTGCTTGGGATGTCGTCAATTTCTGCCTGTTTGGTTTCGCGTGGTGTGTGGTCACGATATTTTCGTGTTTGTACAAACTCGATATAGTGGATGAGCTGTGTGTGTTAAACATAATGCAGAATGTAGTAACAATACTCGCCCATGTCACATCGTAAACAAGAGCATTGCATGGCGACGTATTAATTGATGATTTGGTCCGCTTGAAGAGGCAGTGTAAAATGGCGCGTGGCATTTTCGCTATACAGCACGTATCAGTGATATTAACGCTACAGTTATAATACTGTAGCATTTAATATTTTGAGCGTGAATAAGGAACACCTTTTAAAGGGATGTGTTATCACGAATATTTTGCCCTAACAGTGTATCCTGCTACGTTGATGTACACCGCAGTGCACGCCCAACGTACTATCGGGCCACCATTAGCGCGGTTCGAAGTTGCTGTTTCGATTCACCAGATACTTCACTCGTTGTTACTGTAGTTATGCGCATGATGTGTGTGATTTTGTCGGACTGGCGCTGTAGGGAGTGTTCGCAAATGCGAGGGGCGGCTCGCAATGTTGTAATCGAATATCTCGGGAATACACTTAATCACACACTCGAAACTCATATCGGGTTGGACATTATCAGAGTCATTTTCAGCTCACGTGGCCCACGCACGGGGGGAGAGCGGGGGGCTGTGTGACGTGGACCCAATCCTTGTGCAGTGCACCAACATTCCTGTCCGAACCTGGCACGCTATCCTGGAGGAATCGTGCCAGGCAATGTACCTGGAATCCTGGGTGGATGAACATTCCACATGATAAACCACGAGCATTGGGGGCAGGGGAAAACATCAAACACTCCCATTGAAATATTTTTGCATTGTTTTTTCGAACAACATTTTGTAGAGACGTTTCAAAAAGGAGTTCTACCTCGTCTTTGTTCAATTTCCCCTGCCGCCCTCCTAAACGACTCGCTTTATTCCTTAACAAGTTTCCTTTGACCGGGAATGCTACGAGCAGACAATATGATGATACATTGCTCCTTCGGACCTTCAGTTTCCGTGATTGGCAATCCATTCAGAACCATGTGCTGTTCCTTATGCATATGCTGTTTCGAACACATCCTCCTCGCTGAACGCGATGCGCTGTCCCAAACGCGATGTAGTATCCCAAACGGCACCACGTGAGCCCTCTTCTTCACTGGTAGTGCGAATTCAGTCAACCCATGCAATTGGTTAATCCATATTTCTGCTTCGCCCTTGTTCTGTGTGTCCTGGTCGTGTCGTGTCGTGTAGTGTCGTGTCGTGCCGTGTCGTGCCGTATCGTGTCGTGTCGTGTCTTGCCGTGTCGTGCCGTCTTGTCGTGTCGTGTCGTGCCGTGTCGTGCCGTGTCGTGCCGTGTCTTGTCGTGTCGTGTCGTATCGTGCCGTGTCGTGCCGTGTCATGCCGTGTCTTGTCGTGTCGTGTCGTGTCGTATCGTGTCATGTGTGCCGGTCATGTCGTGCCTGCTGGTGATGCCGTGTGGGGTGCTCGTGCCGTGTGTGCTGATCATGCCGTGTGTGCTGATCGTACCGTGTGTGCTGATCGTGCCGTGTGTGCTGATCGTGCCGTGTGTGCTGGTCGTGCCGTGTGTGCTGGTTGTGCCGTGTGCACTGGTCGTGTCGTGTGCGCTGTTTGTACTGTGTATGCTGGTCCTGCAGTGCGTGCGCTGGTGGCACTAAACACCGCGTGGCAGCTGTGGCCGTCCAACTCCAACCGCTCACACCGCTGCGACCAGTGGGAGTACATCAAATACAACCAGCAGGGCTTCATCACTGCCGTGTACGTTGCTTGACTTGATGTGCTGTTCTGATGTGCTGTGCTGCGGGAACAACAAACGAGCGCCGCGAGGGAAAGAATGTGTGGTT